TTTTTACAGAATGGGATGCAACACTGGGTGCGTCCAGATGAGCGCACTCACGCAGTATGTGGCACCACAAACACGTCTGCAGCACCACATGCAGTGCAGTAAGGGCACACTGCCTATGCATGCACTGCACCATTTTTTTCTGCAGTTTTTTTTCCAGGGATATCCAGGGGTCAAAAAAAAAAAAAAAAAAGAATGCGGGGAAAAAAACTTGGAGCAGTGCACACTCAGGCAGTGTGTGCCGCTAAAAAGCAGAGCTGGGCCACCTGGAGCCGTGCTGCGGCTGCTGGCCAGACTCCATCCGGCAGGATCACTGTAGCTGCAGCCCTGGGAGGCCCCCAGGACTCCAGGTAAGGCTGCTAGGGCCCCAGCCTCCCTTACTGCCCCAGGGTTACCTTGCTACGTGCCAGGCATTCCCCAGGAACAAGTAGCTGCAGTGCAAGGTGTGCCACTGCTAGTTGTCCCCAGGGAACCAAACATCCACGCACATCCGGATGTGCCCACTGTGTCCTTAGGAGCAAATAGGCACTGAACTATAAGCATCTGTAGAAAGGCTAGGTATGTGGACAGTACCACAATCAGAAGACTGTGGCCATTTGTTAAGTGTGACCTTTTCTTCTCAGGCCCTGGTGTGCTGGGTGACATAGTAACATAAGACTGTTGCCATTCAAATCCTTTCGGAAAATCTTCCTAAATGACTGCTTTAGGTTCTGCTAACACTAGGCATGTTTTCAAAAGCTTTCCTTCTGTTGCTAAGACCAGTTCACTCCAAAGCTGTCAGCAAGCGAGCCCTAGCATAGATGTGCATCTGGAACCATTTTAAACAGGACAGATTACAGGCTTACTCTGAGGAAGGTCAGAAAACAAAGAGGTTAAACAGAGGTAGCAGCCAACAGCTTATCTGCTCTAAAGCTCCTGAACATGCTACAAGCAATGGAGTGGAGCTAGTCAGCAACAAGCACGACTTTTTTTTTCCACAAAGATTTACCCTTGTAGACAAGGGTGAGGCTAGTTTGTTTGTGGGGAAGAAGGGATGCAGAGCTGCTGGAAATCTTTTGATGGAATGATTTTCTGCCAGAAAATACCGATTCCTGGAAATCAAAATGGTGGAAACATGCTTATTTTGAAGAAAATGTTGACAGGTGGGCTGCTAGAAGCTGTGAGCCTGGAAGCCTCAGGTCCTAGGTTCCTGGCTTCTTAGCTACCCAGTCCCATGACGTCTCCAGCACTGGGACAGCTTGTGGGACAAGCTCCTATGATCCTCAGCAGCTCTCCTGCCAGGCTCTCAAGTTCCTTAGCAGCTTGCCTAGCCAGCTTGCTGAGCTGCACAGCCCTAGGGCTCCTAATGGGCAGCCACTGTGCAGAAAAATTTAGAGATATTTTTCCACTCCACTCTGAATTAATTTTTTTCTCAAAATTTCATAATTTTCCATAGAACATAAAATTGCATAACTACCCAGGGCTGGAGGGGTGTAGAGAAGTAGGAGTCTGGAGAAGAGGAAATGCAACAATGGAGCAAAAAGATCTACAAAGATTGCAAATGTTTTGAGGGTGCAGTTTTTTGAAGTTTCAGTGAAAGAATGGTTTATTTGGAGAGCTATACACTCACCTGCAACATTAGAAGTGAAATAAAAAGAGCACTGTGTTACTGTATGAAACCAGTGAAGTGTCGCTATTCAAGAAGAGTAAAGCACAAAATGGAAAGTTGCATAAATAGTGAGAAATAAATAAGATTCTTACAATTCAGGTTTAGGTAAGAGTGTTTTCCCAACACAAAGCCTCAATTTTAATGTGTCATATAGCAAACCTTTAAAACACTCAAAAATATTTCTCTAGAAAGTTGTCAATATATGGTACAAAAATTTTTAATTTATGAAAAATCTTGGCAGGAATCAGATCACACTGTTTGCAAATATACAAGTTATTCTGGGGCTATGAAGTTTAGTGGGAAAAGGCCAAATTCAACCTGGGTGTTAACAGGTGCAGCCCCACTGTAGTCAGCTGGGTTATGCTGGCAGCTGGCATCAGAGCTTATCTGGACCCAGTCATTATAAGACCTAATGTAGTGACCCATACTAACATCACATTCATCACAAGATCTTAACCAAGACCTTGCAACAAGCTGTTTGATTTTCTTGTCCCATACCCTTAGGATAATTTAGCCCTGCAGATACCATCAGAAATATAAATCCATGGCATTTTATTTTATTTCCCTAGAAATAGGCTGAAAATAACAACTAAAAAACCCCCAACTTCAAAATATTAAGGAGGTAAATTTTGCACATACCGATTGAAGTAGCAAGTAACCACTGCCCCAGAAATAGTCATTTGCTGACAAGCCAGGATGAATTCACTAGTCCAGATGAGACCAATTAAATGGTACCACCACATGAAACGAATGCCAGACAGTACTTTATATTCAACTTGTCCTCCTGAAATGATTTGCACGCTCCCTGAGAAGTCAAAGACATCACAATATGAAACACAGCTCAGCAAACAAAAGGTCAAGAAAGCTCCCTTCTAGCTTCTAGTAACTCTTCTTCACTAAACTTATCAACTAGAATCCTGCTGCTGTTTAATTCAGTCAATTTTTACTAAAGCACAGATTGAAGTTTGAGAAAAATATCACTTCATGCCCCTAACTGGTGGGTACATAACCACATAAATGCAGTTTCTACACACAATTTAGGATTCAATATTTCCCATTGCAGCCAGACCTCAAAGGCCACTCCCTCCCAGGGCAGTATCTATTTCATTGACCCACACACCTTCTGGGTGCTACACGTCCTCCTGATCCCACATACCCCTCTTCTTGGCATCCTAGTGGGCTAGCTTCAAGAGGAAACCTGGACAGTGCCTCGCTGGTAGCTGGAGATAGGGCATAGCACTTTACTGAGAAGCAGGCAATGTAAGTTCAAGTCCCTGCTAGGTAAAGAACCTGAATGTTCATCCATGGGTCAGTGCCTCTAACCACTGGGCTATAAGGTAGAAGGGTCTTCCACCTCCTCCATGTGCAAGCCAGTTCTATTTCTCCAAAGTGGGACTAGGACAGAATCCCAAACACTGCGTAGGTGCTAAAAACTGCAGTTAAGTGCCAGTGTATGCACCACTCAGACACATAAAGGGTAAATGGGATCTGGCCCCAAATGTCTCACCTTTAAGGTTTTCCTTTGGGTAAAAATGCCAGTAAAGTCTGTAAACTCAGCTAAGCCTAAGTGATGATTTAGTTTTAAAAGCAACATCTGAGAAACAAAATTACTTCATTACCAAAACTTGAAATAAATCTAAGGTCGGTTACAGAAGCACTTAAAAATAAAACAGATTTTCTCTTAAGTGACAGCAACATAACACTGAGAGAAATGACAATAAAGATGGTTGGAAAAAATCAAGGATGGATATACACACACCAGGGGTGTGCAAAATATGGCCTGTGGGCCGGATCCAGCCCTCAAGGCCATTCTATCCAGTCCACGGGGCCCCTAAACAATTTAGAAAATTTATATTTATCTGCCACTGGATCCTGTCAAAAATGACAAGAACCAAGGACAGTAGGACCCAGGGGAAGCCTCAGCAGGCTCCCACAACAGCAGGGCCTGCCCAGCCCCACCCTCCCAGCCAGAATCCCCAGCAGGAGCTTCTGGCCTGGGGCCACATGGCTGCCCCAGCCAGAAACTCAGGTAGGGTTGGGGGGAGGGCAGAGGAGAACCCCGGGGAAAAGCTGAGCACAGGGAAAAAGTGGCCCTACCCCATGCCCCTTGGCTAGAGCTCCCTGCTGCAGCCCACACAGGAATGTCCTGAGCAGGCACAGGCAGTCCCACGTGGGTTGCGAGCAGCTGCAGCACGGGGCACTGGGCACAGGGCAGGTGAGGGGCCACTTTTTCCCCACCCATGCTCAGGAGCAGCTTGTAACCCGCCCCTGCTGCCAGCCTGGGCTCCATGCTGGCTCCAGGCTCGCCCACTGGGGCTACGCGCAGTGGCAGCAGCTGTGGCCCCCACGCTTGCCATGCCAGGCAGTGTTTACCACCACTGCCCCTGTGCTCCCAGCGTGTGAGCTCCGGACAGGCAGCAGCAGCAAAGTCTACCCGGCAC